TATATTTATAAGATAGTGATAGGACAATAATGGGGTGATCTCACTCTGTAAGGCTGTGTTGACAATAATGCTTCATAAAGCGACAGTAGTTTGTAAAATGAATAATAGGTATAGGAATTTATATTTCAAAATGTATTGTAATATTTGTGAATTGTGATCTTAGTATATTTAAGCACATATGTATAGAGTATAAAATTTATTATTCAAATTGTTTATTTCAGCTTATGAATATATATATTTTTATAATTTTAGTACAAAAAAGAATACCTATTGACCTATTTGACGAAATAAATGCCTGAAATTGACGACCCAGTTTCTGTATTGAAATGGACACTAAATACTCATAAGAATTGTCCGAGACAAAGGCAGTGATTTTTATGTTCATAATTTAAAAGTCTAGATATAATTTTACTATCTATTTGTTATCTCGACTGTGACCTTTAAGTCAAATATTTGTATAGAATATTAATTATGTACATTCTTCTAGTAGAGTAGTCGAGCTCTAAAATATAAATTAAATGTAATTAGTAATATTTAATATAGGCAGTGGAGTGTTTTTAAGCGCTAACTGTTTTTTTTTAATAATTCAAAAAAATACAATTGATATTTGTTAAGTTTTTTTTTGCTTTTAATGTTATAGTTACTCGCGTACCTCGGCAATACCAATAGTGCAGCCAAATAACGGTCTATCCCTGAAAACTCCTTTCAAAGTAATTTTGAAGAAGTATTTTAGGTTTTTTCCGTTAAAATAAGCACGATGATTTCAACTTTTAAAATGATTTATTATTATTTGTCGAACAATTTGAATTTAACGAAAACACTAAAAGTTAGTTCTATTTTTTTTTGGAACGTCAAATTTCTCCAATTAATGTATACACATTAAGAGCACCCCCTAAAATACTTAGTATTGAATGTATGTTTTAATAATTTTTAATATTGTATTGTATAGGTATTGTAACTTCAATTTTATTTCACGATTAACTGCGCTAATTGCGCAAATCTGCGTTAGTTGCGAATGGTTTTTATTGTACATTTATGTACATTATATGTTAGACTTGTAATTGTTGTAGTTACAAAATATAGTGTGCTCGAAATTAGTTAATGCTTAAAAACACTTCATAAATAACTCTTAAGATATGTAAATTAAAGGTAAATTGCAAGAAGGCACTGATTTGTCAATTATTCATTAGACTCATGATTATGGATTTGCTTTCAAAGTCCTCATAAAAATTAAATAGTGTATCGGCATGAAGATTAGTTCGCTTCGTTTATTTGGCTTTTTATAGGAATCATATTATTGATTGTCTTTTTTTGTGTACGTTTTTAGAGCGATACAATTAGTGTGCTACGCATTTATTGATTTTATAGGCAGCGGCTTGGCTCTGCCTCTGGCATTGTTGAAGTCCATAGGCGACGGTAACCCTTAGGTTGGCCGTATGCTCGTCTGCCTACAAGGACAATAAAAAAAATTGAATATTTTTTGTTCGATAATCTTTACTAAACCTATTTCAATTCAATTTGTTTCAAATATGACACTTGTTGTACATAATTGAAACTATTATTATTGTTTTGTTTATGACGTTTCGTGTGTTACCTATCTTTAAATTCGAAACATCAGAAATAAAATAATGTAAAAAAAACGTGAAATTAAAATGTAAAAATAGTTTTGATTAGATTTACAACTCGCGAACAGCTAAGAAACAACTATGATACTCAGTTTTGTACATGTAATTCATAAATAAAAATCTAGTAATACCACAGATTAACTTTATAGTCTTATTTTATTATAAATTAATGATTAAAGAAGCTATTTTTTGTTTGCGTAGTTCAGTATAATAAATTAGCGGGCCTGTTGAAGTTTTCGTTTTGATCACGTAGCTGTAAGGGTTTTGTGTGCACGGTACGCTTGACTGCAAACTTAGCAAAAATCCATCAATATTATATGATAATAATAATATTATATAATAATAATAATATTATATAATATTATTATTATTATATAATAATAATAATATTATATAATAAATATTATATAATATATAGCTGTTGTAAAATATTTTCATAGATTAGAATAAGCTAGTCATACGAATGCAGTATTAAAATGTGTATTGATGTATCAATGTTTTTTTTTAAATGTAGTATATAACGGCCTACTTTTATATAGAATGTAAATACTTAGTTCTGTTCTTTTTTTGGTATTTTTTTGGGATATAATTAATTATTTTTATCAATGAAGATCGCTGAAACCTGAATATTTAAATTCCCATTTCAATCTGTAAAACAGTTTGATGAATTTATGAGATGAAAACTAGAATATATATTTTTTATCTTTAATTTTCAATACAATATGTACGTACTACTTTAACTTCAAAATCACAATGACAAGATATTTACTCTGTATTTACTGACAAGTATCAATTTAAAATAAACTTTGATTTTTGTGTGAAACGTAATATTACTTAGCAAACTCAATAGTATTATTACAAATAGCTGATTTTCTTTTCTTTTTTTTAATTGTAATTATTAATACATAAAAATAGTATATGTTTTGTATTGTAAATATTTAAAGTTCTATTGGTGTAAATATTATTCGTTGTAGAGTTTTATATGACATTAGTTTATTGGTGAACTGAATATATCAGTAACTTATTAGAATTAAGAAATAATGATGTTAACATTAGAAAATGATGTAGAACGTGACGTAGTACAAAATAAAGAGTAATTTAATTGATTCAATTGGAATTGGATAAATTCCTACCGGTTCCGTAGATTAAAATATTTTGGCAGTGATCTGTCTCTTAGTACTTTTCGAGATTTAGGACATTACATAAAATATATTGAATTCAGACAAAATTTCAGATGGATACATTAATTAGCGACAAAAACAGTGACTGAATTTAATTATAAAATGTCTTAAGCGTCAAATGACCTGTTCTAAGCGGTTACAGTGTTTTATGTAGTGAGCAAATATATGGGCAAAGGTGTATTATAAAATATTATTCATGAAAACTCTGCGTATTCTCTGTAAATTATCTAACAAAATAACGAGTACAATTTAAATTGGGTTAATTATGTGCTCTTTATTTTAAAAGTTTATTTCTCGTAAAAAGAGAAGACCATCGTTTTTTATTAATACTATTCTCGAGTCTGTGTTATTCTATTTCCAATTTTATCCAGTTCTGAGCCAGGAAAGCTAATAACATAGATTATCAACAAAGTATAGAGACTATTACTCGAATACAAACCTAACCTGTACAATCGACAATCACTTATATCCAAAATTGTATAGTACCGGATTTTAGGCGGATAAAAATGTAGAGAGAGGGAAATATGTATTCTTTGTATGTATATTTATTTTTAAATAGTGAATTTAGTCCATTGTTATGATTATATGTAAACTTTTGTTAGCACGATTTAATTGTTGTAAATATTAGTCTTAATTATTGGTCTTGACTATTACTTGAACAAACCAAATGTTTTCTTAACTTATTTATACTTTGTACTCCGACTATTGTATACAATATATTTGAAGGTAAATTACAAACGTATTGCTGTATCATTATGAGATTTATATGGAATTGTTTAGATAATTTGCATTATAAAATGTTTAGCAATAGGCTGGATCTTAATGAATTCCGTTGCTTTTTAATTTGAAAATTTCTTATCACGTAAATGGTACAAAGTATTTTAGAAATTGTATTTAGTAAAAAATTCTGCAATATCATCATTTCCATTGTATGAGATTTTCACTTTATCCAATCTAATAATAAATAAAATTTGTGACATTATCTTCCTAAATATATGTTTGAAAAATATTTGTGATTATCTTTTATTTATAAAATTTAAAATAATGAACAAAAAAATAATCAAAATTTTATTTCTAAACTATAGCTTTCTTAAATAAATGACACACAGAATTCTCATAGTCGTAACTTAAGATTTTAACCATACAAAAAAAAACTTCCTAATATCACAAACACGGTAAGAATAAATAAAAGTAGATTCTGTAATTCTACACTCAAATAACATCCTTTACAAACTAATGTTAAATAATTAATTAGCACTCTATTTAATTTAAATTCGTTACCATTTGAGAGTTTGAACCATAAACACTTTATTTGTAAAATCACGTTAAACAAGCATGTTTGGGGAATGTTATTTCGCTTATAAAATAATTTTAATAACTTATAACCCACTAACGCCACAGAGTATAATTTGCTTACCTACTGTCAATAGTCTCGAGGGGCAATTCTGACTTCAGCGGATGTGTGGGCGAGCTCACGGGGTTAAGCCCGAAAGAATTCACTAACGCTTTACAGAAACACACAAAAAAACATCTAAACCGAAATCGGTCCACTTCCGATTTTAGTACACGTGCATATAAATCTTTACCTATATCGATATACTATAAGATATTAACTGTGGTTAGATTACAAAATAAATTTTTACAAGGCAATTACATCTACATTATTTTAAACTGAAATTTACTAAAAATAATAGATTAATAAAAGGAATTTGGCAAGTATTAATTTTAACACCCTTTTAGCAGTTTGACACCTATTATGTTTTGTTTGTGTGTAGTAACTAAATCTTTGGATGAGTCAATGACTTACAGTCGTTCGATTTACCTTCGGTTTATGTAAATTTTTTATCATATTTTCATCGGTATTTGATGTGTGTGCATATATTTTTGCCGATTTTCATCACTTAGCAGCATTGTCAACCAAAACGCGTCTTGTCCGGATCCACTCTGTGTTTTTGGGCTCTCCAAGCACTGTTCATCGTTCTCATCGAAGAGGTCGACGTGCAATGTAATCCACAGACACAACCCACTGAGTTTCTATCCGGACCTTCTCAGTGGGTCGCGATTCCGATCCGGTGGTGGATTCAACAAAACACTATTCTTGCTAGGGCTGGTGTTAGCAATCATCTACGTGTCCGAGCGTAGCCAGAATACCTCAGTAGGCTACCAGCGAATAAGTAGTGTGAAAATACTGGAATTTGATGATTTAAATAACTTTGCCTGTGCCAACCGGTTAAAAAAATGACATTAATTGTTTGGTTTTTCTATTTAAGCATGTTTTTTTTAAATAATTTTTAAACTACATTTATTGGTTATTTCTTTCATATAACAAAGCCTTAGCTCTTGACACATACATATTTCATTCGTAAAACTATACAAGCAAAGGAAACCCATCTTAGGACAAGCTGTTGTTAGAACCTCTAGAAGTTGATAAACTAATGGATAAAGCGTTCGTGGTGTAATGAACGAGACACACGGTGAATTCGAATCCAACTCAACCAACCAAATCAAAAATCCTAAAGGTGATAAAAAATTTGAAGTGTAATAAATACGTGAGTAAATATAAAACGTGTCCACGAATATTTTCACGATTAATGGAAAGTTTCGCGTAATAAATATCAAAGAAGCAGAATTGATAAGTTTGCGTGGTTTTTGTTGGCACGCGGTTGTATTGTCCGGTTGCACGGGTAATCAGTAAGAATTAACCTCTGCCACGAAGCAATCGCGCCTTAAACAATAGCTTCAGGGCCAGATAATACCTACAAACTGAGGCTTCGACTTCAAGCTATCAGCAATTTAACAGCAGCCGTGAGCTATTCTGCTCATCTACAGCCATAAAAACATTATTTTCTTCATGCGCATTAAATTAACATTATTATTTTTGGTTACGACTTCATTCAAACGTTCCGTTGGACGTTTCTAACGTACCTAATACAAATTTCATTTACGACTATCAGTTTACACTTAATTATCGTACTAATAAGGTTGTTATTAAGTAATTTTTTGGTTGTCAGCTTTTGGTGAGTGATGTCTGTCGCCGAAGCCGTCTCGATTTGCCCGGGAAGCCTCTAGCGTACGGTGGCTTCGCGTTAGTGGTGACGTAGTATACGCCTCTGGCACTGAAAGTTTTATGATAATAATTTATTATTAAACCTCATGAAAATCGAATTTATACGTGTGAATGAGTTTCATTTATAAGTGACTGGCAAGATGGACGGAAAAAGACCACGAGGTAGAGGCCCGACACGTTGGACTGACCAGATCCGCACTACCCTCGACACCACAGTTCACGATGCTCTACACTCGGCAGTAGATAGAGGCAAATGGCGTGGAATGGTCCGGAATAAACTCTTGTTGCGAGAAGGTGGTCACGACCCTCAGTATTAAGGAAACCGAAGCAAGAAGAAGAAGAAGAGTTCCATTTAAGAAATTATGGAGCCTATAGTGCTGTAGGAGTATTTTTTAAACGCTGAAATATCAACAGAACATTTTTCGTTGTTCTATTGCTTCCATTGGTGAATGAGTTTGAATTATATAACAGAATTGCGTAATTTTAGGCGGGTTTCCTATTTTTATTAAACAATGTTATTCATTATTCGTGGACGTCGCTCAAAAGAAAAAGAAAACTGCTTAGCTAATTTAAAAACGCTTTATACTCACTTATGACTAACATGTTCTCCCATCAGCACGTATTCAGTGTCTCTGGGTTCACACCAGCCTATTAAGTATGAAAACAAGCTAGAACAAGGACCCGCCCAGAAGCCGGCTCTGCTGTTTATTGACTCAATGAAGTACGGCGTCACCTTCGTATGATCACAGGACAATGTTTCTGTAAAAAAAATGTGTTTTTTTGTTTGAGGTTGTATGCGAGCTCATCTCCATTTTCCATAGCGGCTTAACAAATATAAATGTCATATTGAGCATTCATAAATACACCTTATTTATATATTAATAAATTTGATAAAATTCTTCATTTTATGTCAGTATTGAGTCGTGCAAGGAAACGCGGAAATTAGGCCTACTCAGTCGAAAGTGTTCATATTTGTCTTGTTTACCACTATTTGATATGTATCAATCTTGTTGTTTATCACTAGTTGTGGTTCGATAATAATATAATACTTTGAGCCAATAAATGCATACATATCTTTGGTTTTATAATTTTTTTCGAATTTATTTGTTAATAATGTTGTTTTTATAAATAACTGGACAGATTTCCATGAAATTTAATTTATAATTAAGCTCGGTACGTATTGCAATACGGTTCTAGGTTTTTTTTTAGAATAGGGCGTTAGTTACAGTAAAAACTCATTATTCGCGCTTCCTTCATTCGCGTTTCCACTATTTGCTGATTTAAAAAATGGGACCTAATTCCTATGTTCGCGGCTAAAGATTTCTTTATTCGCGTATCTATTCGGTACATCGGTACATAGTACACATTAATAAAAAGGATTCCACTATGTAGCTATCCAACCGCATATCCTTTATAAGCGCGCTTTTCCATGTTCACGGTTTCTGTATTCGCGGCATATTCATGGAACGTATACCACGAGAATAAATAGGTTTTACTGTATTAATCTAAACTAAATCTAATTCTAACATAGGGCTAACCATCAGAAATATCCATTTTAGCGCCATCTATATAAAGCTTTATAAACTACTTCGTTTCCTCTCTAAACAGTGTCACTAAATAGTGTAGCATGTAGTTAAAAGATGGAACTGCAGAAACAAAAAAAATAATATTATTAATACAAATATTATTTTTAAAAGCTGGCACATCTTTTTCATTTCGTTTTTAGTATTTTCTCATACCGTTTTTGACAAGACGAGTTATTTTACTTTAATTATTTATTAATTTATTTTACTTAGTTATTTTTAAAAAAAAATTAAAACATGACGCCGTTTCGTACTATAAAACAAAATGGTGCTACAATGGTATATCATTTCATGCCTATCCACAGCCCGCCCTCCAAATAAGAATTAGGAAGAGGGCTGGGTTGGTAATTAGGCTCTGATATCAACCTGGCAATAGTATGGTGATGGGCCAGTAGCAGAATCACGGGCAGGTGATGTCACTTATCAGTATTTTCTAATTATTAACTATTATTATCAAGTACGAACTAAGAACCTTTCACGAGTCTGAGTGAAAATATTTCCATATTTGTACGTTAATAAATTCAAGGCTAATTTCGTCATCAATTGTTTTCTGTTCAACACTTTCACACGTTTTGTTCTATTGTTAGAACAATACAATCAGTCAACATTGAAATGTTAAGTCATAATGTTCCAAAGACAAACATAATACGGTGTTAAAAAAAAATTAAATTAAATATTCTTACGGAATATGGTATCATGAGCACAACCAGGTTGACTGGAGCCTCCGTTGACATAGAAATCCGCGTGACCGTTCGGACCCCACTGGCCAAGGATTCCGGCTCCAGTATGCAAAATGTCCACAAATAACGCGTCCGTGTGATCCAGGTCACGGGATCTATTGTTGCCCATGTAGAAGAAAATAGTCGGGTCTAAGCCTGCGGAATAGAATCAAGTGAAATAGTCAAAATTTCCTTATGTGCCTAATTTTAAAAATATATTTCTGACTACAATTTTGAACATCATTTTAAAATATATCAAATCTGCCTACTGTGAGTAAACACATTGGTATTTGAAAATCATTTTGGGAAATTCCCTTCGAAAAATCCAATAAGGTTGGTTACTAGTAAAACTGTGTGCATACTATCGTGGTGTGTTCTCGTTACAGTAATTGTAATGTCGTAAAGATATTACAATTTTATTATAAATTCTAATTAGGTATACAGTTACAATCCATTTAAATTTCGACATGAATCGCTATTTACTTTCGGTAATATTAAAACAAACAAAAACAGCCCAAATAGGTTATTGCTATAAAAAAATTAACTATACCAGTGGTCCCGCAGTAGTCGAAATTCGACTATAATTAATTGGAATTGTAAGTTTGTACACTATTATGATTGTATTTTATACTTCTATAATCACAAATTTCGCCAAGGCTACACTATAAAAAATATTAATAAAGACAAACAATATTTAATCTATTCTCAATTTGTCCACAGACGTCAAGAACAAAAGTTTGACAATAAATAAATAGTATGCATGCGTGTGTACGTCAAATACATGGTATGTAGTGTGTGTAATGTTTTCTTTATGGATTTAATGTATCTTTTATGCATTATTTTAAACAAATATTAGCATTGTGCACTTCTTCTCTATATTCTCTATACGTGTGGAAAATTTCATATTCCTCCGTCCGCGCAATTTTCGTAAAAAGTTTTTGCTTCCCGTATTAATATATAGATGAATGCAATGAACGTGAGTATAATCTGTAATAAGTGTCAAATGTACAATTTATTAACTATCCCAAGAATTAGCACTTGTTTCAATGCCGTTAAATCCCTTCACCGGTAACAACCACACGTTTACCTCTAAATTATATAACAGTAGTAATCTGCATACCAGTTATCCTGCCAAGTTTTCCGACTTTTAAATAATTAGCCACAAGGCCTAGTATATGGGCGCCGACACTGTACCCAATAGTATGTATTTGTTCCGGCTGAACTTGCTTCTTTGGGTGATATTGTAAATATTCTACCAGCTGTGTTATACAGAGACTGGCAAAACGCGGAGCCCATTCTATCTGAAAAATAAGATATATTTAAAAACTAATTTTTGGCACATAAATAAACGTATATTACAAGCGTAAATAATGGCCGTATGGAGCATCGTGCTACCTGTTTTTGATATACATACATACAAATCGGGGGGTGAAAGGCAATTCGGTTTAAGCAACCTTTTTACAACTTTGCAGGAGAGTCATTTAAACTTGAAAATTTGGAAGAAAATATACGTAACAATATATAAGTAACGTATAAGTAATATATAAGTTACAATAAAACTTCTTCAGCTATTTGAATGGGGTAAACTTAATTTAAGTTAAATTAAAAGCAACGAACTGTTGATGCTAATCTCTATATATAAAAATGAATTGCTATTCGTTAGTCTCGCTAAAACTCGAGAACGGCTGGACCGATTTGGCTAATTTTGGTATTAAATTATTTGTGGAAGTCCAGAGAAGGTTCAAAAGGTAGATAAATATGAAAATACACGGAATTAAATAATAGTAACAATTTTGTTATTCATTTGATTTGTCCCCCGTCGAACGGATTCCTTTTTTTTTTTATTTATCGATTAAGGCACTACGAAGTCTGCCGGGTTAGCTAGTACCAAATAAAATGCACCTATAATTTACAATGATAAATGTTGAGTATTAAGCGAAATGTCGCTTATACTAAATAGACTTTCGTCGCCGATGTCATCGTGATCTAAAGGATAAGACGTCCGGTGCATTCGTATCTAGCGATGCAACGGTGTTCGAATCCCGCAGGCGAGTACCTATTTTTCTAATGATTTACGTACTTGACAAATGTTTACGGTAGACTTCCACGATGAAGGAATAACATCGTGTAATAAAAATCAAACCCGCAAAATTATAATTTGCGTAATTAATGGTGGTAGGACCTCTTGTGAGTCCGCGCGGGTAGGTACCACCGCTCCGCCTATTTCCGCCGTGAAGCAGTAATGCGTTTCGGTTTGAAGGGTGGGGCAGCCGTTGTAACCATACTGAGACCTTAGAACTTATCTCAAGGTGGGTGGCGCATTTACGTTGTAGATGTCTATGGGCTCCAGCAACCACTTAACACCAGGTGGGCTGTGAGCTCGTTCACCCATTTAAGCAATAAAAAAAAACGTTTCACCCCCTCGATATCTAATACATTTTCACGAACGATTTCTACGGTGAAGGAATTACAAGGAAACTCTAATTCAGTGAGTGACTTATCGGTTCCGATACCCACCTGACTTAAGCACGGCTCTTTCACGAGACTTCCGTAATCCACGATGATGATGTTGTAATTGCCCCTTGTGAAGTAAGCCTTCCGCATATCAGTACTAGGCGACAGGTTCCTGCCTCCGCCGAATCCGTGCACGACTATTTTCGTTGGATGGAGTGGATTGAAGTTCGAGGCTGTTAGAGATCTGTTGTCTAATGTATTTAATAATTCACCTTTTTCTTGTGTGGTTCTGGAACATAGGAGTTTTTTGATACTGTATATCAATTCGACTCAAAAAAATCTGAGTGAATAGAGAGACGAACTTACTAAAAATCTACATGACTATTATCTTATCGGTCTATGAAAATGCACCGGGCGTTTTTTTTTAGTATTGAAGGATTACTGGTGGCCCGGAGGCCTTCCTAGTTTCACCAGGACAGGTGGGCAAGCAAAGGCTCAGCCAGGAGGGGTGGGATTTGCTACCGCCCGAGCGCCTCCGAAGGAGACCTAACAACTCAAGAGCAGCGGCTTCGCGAATGAATCTACTACCGGATTGGAATCGCGACCCGCTGAGAAGATCCGGCGAGAAACTCAGCGAGTTGAGCATTGGTTAGGTTGCACGTCGAACTCTTTATCGAGTTCGACAAGTACGGTTACCGGGGTCCCTAAGCCTGCTCCTAGTGTTAGGACTGAAGGCGTCTAAGGCAAAGGTAATTGGATCTGAGGAATCCGTAAGAAAGGCTGCACCGTGCGTCTTATCCTGTAAGCCACGGCGATCGAAAATGATATCTATAAAGTTATTCACTTCAAAATGCACTACATAGTTAAGGTAGCAATTCAATGTTATTAATTCATAATATTCTAGAAATTACCTGGTGTAAAGAAAGAACTGCATTTTCGGATGTGGGCATCGGTAAGGAGGCTGTATACACGATGTCGTGTTAAACAAGTCTCTAACTGATTGCGCCTTCTTTTCGGAAGGAATTTCGTTTTCTTGACTTTCTGTAACTAAAAAAATATCTCCCTTGAACAATAAGGTCCTTCATCTATTCAAAAATAATATCTTATTGTATAAGGCTGTTTTCTGTCGATCAAAATACAAATCAAAGGGTGAAAGGTTATTTGGTTTAAGCGACATTTACGAGTATTTTTGTAAATAAAGTTTTATTTTGTACTAGCTAACCCGGCAGACTTCGTAGTGCCTCAATCCCTAAATAAAAAACTTTTTAATAAATAAAAAGCTTTTGTATAAAATAAACTTAAAACAAACAAAAGGAAAGGACGGGGGACACATCAAAGTAAAAACAAAATTATATAACTACCTTTTAAACCTTCTCTGGACTTCAACAAATAATTCAAATAATTCAAAATTAGCCAAATCGGTCCAGCCGTTCTCGAGTTTTAGCGAGACTAACGAACAGCAATTCATTTTTATATATATAGATTCGTATCAACAGATTGATGTATGCAAAAATATCGCTTAAAGCCTTTACCCCTCGAAATTTATTGTAGAAGATTGTGGTCAGATTTTAAAATATGGTTAGCAGTAGTCATATATAGTAAAATTGTCTTGTAATAATCAGAAGACACGAACCGCATACTCATAAAACTATCATGGCTTTGGAAGAAATTTGTTGAAATATGTTGTAGCTACTTATTATTATTTTTAAATTAAAATTTCATGGTAGTATTTGCTCATCATGTAAAACAAATACAGTTAAGATTACGAACTCATTACACACCCTCGGTGTTGGCCACAGGTGTCTATGCAAAGGTCTTCTAGAAAGATTCGCTTATTTGGCCATCTATGCTACTAAAATCTTATTTTTATCCGACTTAAAAAAATGAGGAAGTTCTCAATTGGATGTATTTTAATTTAATATGTGTATAATTTAATTTAATTTAATACCTAAGAACTTTTTTGTAGATAAATCGATTTTGAGTATTATTTGAAAGTTAGATCTTCTCATCTGGTCCTATTTCATTTTTATCAAGATGTGACCAACAGTTTTGGAGTTATCCTTTATTAAATAATGTATATTTAATTCACTTTGACTGCATCGATGATGTTCTCGTTTTATTTTGTAGAAATTGTTTCATTTTTATTTTCTATTACCATTATTATTATATTTTAGTACTAGCGACCCGCCCTCGCTTCGCTTCGGAAACATTAAAACACACATGAAACCAAAAAATAAAAATAAAAAAAGTAATTAAAAAGGTAGCCTATGTTCATCAGGGACAATATCGGCTTCTAATGGAAAAAGAATTTTTCAAATCGGTCCAGTAGTTTCGGAGCCTATTCGAAACAAGCAAACAAACAAATCTTTCCTCTTTATAATATTATAAGTATAAGTATAGATTACTACACTAATGAATAACGTTAAATGTATTAGTAATAAGAATCTGAAGGAATGTCGTTGAACTGGTTGTGGATTAAAAGATACAGGGCACCAGACTATCCCAGTGTGGCAGGATTTTCTAAGTATACGTACTAAGCACGTGTTCACGATAATATTTTTTAGATGTTTTTATTTATTTCGTAATTACTAGTGGAAGGGTGCAATTGAATCCTGGATGGGTTACCCCTATCCTGAACATTTCTATCGGCGAAGCAGTCACGTGTTCCGTTTCTAAAAGTAGGACAGCCATCATACAATTCAATCGAGACTTCGTTCTCAGGTCGCAAGGCAGCTGACATCACGGTGTGAAGTCTAGTGTGAAGACTCGACTAGTCACTTAACACCAGATGGCCCGTGAACTTGTGAAGATAGGCAACAAAAAAAGGTGTGGTGTCGTGGGACACCGGATAGGAACGAAGTTCCTTATTATAAAAATATTAATTTTAAGTTCTATTCGAGGTATAAAGAAAAGAATTATTCGGGTATACATTTTTTATTATGATTTTTTTATTTGTAAAAAATAACTACTTTACAAAGTTATCAACTTTATTTTATTCACAATGATTTATAAAAAAATATATAATAAAAATATGCTATTTTTTTTACGTTATTACAAAGTGAAGTCCTACACTGTGTGCATTACTAATAAAAGTCTTACGTTACGGACGTTTTTTCCCGGTTAGGGTACCCCTCCGCATCGTCCCATAAGGAACTTCGTTTCAATAAATAAAAAAACCATAATCTTGTGAAATTGTGATTCACGAAACCTGCAGCAAGCAAACTTGCTATACTTAAAACAATCCAGCGCATTTTGCGGTCTGATTAGTAAAGACAATTAGAAGTCATTACCCAAACGTGCAGGCGAACTGAGCAATGACATCAAGTTTACTACACTTGTCAGAAACAATTGGCGTTAAGTCACGTAATTGTTTTGTCATAAGTTTCAAATGTTGTCATCTCAAACAGGAGTGTTATTTCACCGGTCACCGTCCAATTAGGACGCTGAGTTCGACAAGCGAACTAACCCATAAACACAGCCCACTGATTTTCTCGTCGGATCTTCTTAGTGGCTCACGATCCTGATCCGATGGTTTATTCTCTTGCTAGGGCTAGTGTTAGCAAATTCTCTCCGATTGAGCCCGTGAGCTCATCTACCCGTCCTAACTTAGCTGGAATAGCCCCTTAGCGAATAAATAGGGAAAAAAGTGTTACTTAACATTTTTCCTTACTATATAACAGTTTTAACTTAATTTAAACATGTTTTGTTTAGCTTAAATGATTAGACGCGGACCGATAATTTAATGTTTAGCGGTAGCCAGAGATTGTTTTGATTGAATTAGCTAGAAGAGTGGCCGTCCTGCGGACTCAAAAAATGTCCTATCACTAATTCTCAGAATAGAGTTATAAGATTCTATATTTTCTGAGTTATGGGGAGAAGTTGAAAAAATTTTGTGAGAATAGTTTGTTAGGAAACAAACGTGATAATATTAATGATGTTCTACATGAATGGCCTGATGGAAAGGGGTCACTGCGGTTCATGACATAATACTTGTATTAATAGTATGTTCAATTTCAAATAGTTGTAATGATATTTATTGCGCTGAAATACAATATTCCAAATGTGGCCCAAAACGTCTGAAATATTATAATTACAATAAAAAAGCTATATTAAACCGTAATAGTAGTTTTAATTATATATACGACTCCCGGAAACCGACGTAACGTTTTTATAGGACTACCACGCTCACGGCCATCTGATATGAAAAGGTCAGCAATGCCAATAGTATTTCCAAATTTGTAATATGCAAGAAAAAATCTTATCGATGAGTTAAACTCTCTTTCGTCTATTCTGTTTTATTATGTACACATCTAAATAAATGTATTTTTGTCTGTGTAGGTACAATTAAAATAATATCTATATAATAACATCGGAAACACCAACTTTCAAATAAAATAAAATCATCAAAATTCCTAGAAAAAATTCTGAGTACACATAAAAAAACAGTCGAATTGAGAACTATTCCGTTTTTTTTTAATTCGGTTAAAAAATCGAACGCTTTTTTTTACACCCTAGAAACGAAAACAGGTTGTTCGTTTTTGGGAAGCCATCACTACACACCCATTATAAAAGAAATAGCTCGTTTGAATCCGCAGTTTTGTTACAAAACTTTTTGTTGATCGTTATCATCGCAATTATTACTCAATTTATTACGAAACATAGAGGCAGCTATTTAGTAGGAATGCGGTCGGTTCACATTTGTTGTTGACTTATTAGTTTTATATTTGGAATTATCGGTTTTTCTGTTTTGATAAATTGACAACCGAGCTCACAATATGTTAAGCGGTGACTAGATCGAATGGATCGTAAATGCTTATGCCAACCTTGAGGTGTCAAATCGACTTCTAGTCTGTGTCGATACAGCGACTTACTCATGGTACCATAAGATTGTTTCGCGGTAAAAAGGGGCGGAGTTACTAGTACTTAACATGGAAATCAGGAGGAGTTACATATCCGATCCTGTGAATCGAATGGTAAATAGTCGACGTCGCCTTAAACACGTCATTACGGATCCTCCCGATCCGTTAACGGTGCTTTTAGGTACCTCAAGCACCGGTCACTGTCCTCGTCGAACCCGTCGCTTGCGACGAAGGGCTAGACGAGTAAATTAACCCATAGACACAGCCCACTGCGTTTCTCGCCGGATCTTCTCAGTGGGTCGCGTTTCCGATCCGGTGGTAGATTCTGCGAAGCACTACTCTTGCTAGGGCCAGTGTTGGCAACATTCCGGTTTGAGCCCCATGAGCTCACCTATACGTCAAGGAAAATCTGAAATAGCTTCTCAAGGCTATCAGAATAGATAGGAAAAAAAGAGGAGTATCGTCGCGGATGTACATATGTATGTTTTGAGTTCAACTCCAAATTTAACTTCAATGAAGGCTTGCATAATAACTACTTCGAAGTTTTATTAATACTGTTTTATTTTTTATTTAACACTAGCTTTTGCCCGCGACTCCGTCCGCATGGAATAGTTACTTTGGCATAACGCTAAATTTTACCCCCCACTTCATTTACGTAGAAAGTGAAAATATTTTTGAATTATAGAATGTTAAGGAGCTATTTAAACCCCTATTTTGAAACATTATTTATTGCTGCTCCACTTATATTGATCTAACCGTGATGTTATATAGCTTATATATAGCCTTTCTCAATAAATGGCTTATCTAACACTGAAAGAATTTTTCAAATCGGACCAATAGTTCCTGAGATTAGCGCGTTCAAACAAACAAACTCTTCTGCTTTATAATATTAGTATAGATAAGTATAGATTATTGGTTATAATTTTTTTGTTCAAATGTATGTTGAACAAGAACGCTGTAACTTTTTTATTTTTTTGGCGGTGTGTATGAATGTCCGAATAAATCGGTTTGTTCCACGCAACCTTGGAGTGAATTTGGAAATTCGACAGGAAATTATCTAGAAATTTCCAAAAATGCACATTATATTTTTATTGTGAGCAGTTCATTCAGAGGATTAACCTTTAGAAGTATTATATTCTTGTCTCTTTCTCTCGTAGGAGTACTTTAAATATCTTTATCTTCCTCATT